GCGTGGGAGGTGAAGTTTTTTTTTCCAAATTTGGGTCCACGGCATTGTTGTTTTTGTTGACCGTTCCAGAAAAGTTCTACTGGCACGACTGTCTTTTTGTTTTTTGCCATTTCTAAATAAATTTTTTTTGTTGGTTTAGGGGGATGTTAAACAGGGACCCGTTTTTGCCTAATATTTCAATAGTTGTTTTGTAGTACTGAGACATTTTGTTGTCCCAGTGTTTTGGAAAATTGTTCTTTTTTAAAAAGTTCCAGCTTTGGTTTTGGTTTGTAAATTTTATAAGTGAACTTGCTAACCAGTACTTTGAAAAGTAGTAGTAATAGTAATTAAGTAGTAATAGTAGTAATCAGCCTTTCTACTTTAAAGCTTTCAATGAATTCAGCAAGAAGAGTCATATAGTAGTCAAAGTAAAGAGGAGTCAATATAGTAATCAAAGTAACATATAGTAACATATAGTAATCAAAGTAAAGAGGAGTCAATAGTAATCAAGTAGTATAAGTAGTAATCAGCTTTTCTACTTTAAAGCTTTCAATGAATTCAGCAAGAGGAGTCATCTTGCTTAAAGTTGTGGCATACTGAAGTAAACTACAAAACTTGAAAACGTGCTTAAGTCTAATTTAATTTATTAGCTAATGAAAATTGACTTTTAATTTTCATAACGAAAATTTTCTTTGTTTACCGAGTTTGGGATGCGCCATTTTAAAGTCTGCCAAATATTGTATATATATTCTAATTATGATTCTTCACAGAAACCTACAAAACTTAACAAAGTAAAACAAACTAAAGACTCTTGTCAACAACAAAACCACAATAAAATTATCCAAAGAAAAATCACTATAGCACATTCTGGAATCACTTTTGCTGAGTCAGCAAACCCGTTAATCAATAAGATTTATTGGCTCGCTGACACAGCGCGTTTCCAGAAATTCCTGAACTTTCTTTAAAATTCCTTCATGCATATGGCGTAATATTACATATGGCAATAAATATGGCTACAAAATTAAACAGAGTTCTGAAAAGTTCATAACAGTTATGGCCATAACTGTAATAAACTTTTCAGAACTTTCTTTAATTTTGGTAACTTTTTTATTTTCCAGGAAAAATTATAAAAATTTACTCTATATATATATATATATATATATATATATATATATATATATATATATATATATATATATAAAATCTAATATTTGTTTAACTGTTAATGTAAAGTGCTGTTATCAAACATGCAAAGTTTTCTGTGTTACTTACAGTAATTGTATAAAATGTTACACAAAAAATGTTATGCTACTGCGCAAAAGAATACTTGAACAAAAAATCTAGTTTATTTTTAGCTGCACCAGGTGATTTGAAATAAATGCATAAAAAAGGTAAAATATGATGCTCTAAATGAAAATTTTTGTATTACTAAAGTAAACAGTCAGTGGCTATCCATTATAGGTAAACAACTCTCCCACAAATAATTGAAAAGCAAATGCGTGGTGGGGTGTTCAACAAATGCATGGTGGGGTGTTCAACATGAAAAATTAGAGGCAAAGAAACCATTTACCTTTAAAAGAGACAAAAGCTGACTGCTGAATTAGTTTCAACATGAGAGTAAACATTCAACTAATAAACTACTATAGTTCTACTAATAATAGAATTTTATTGAGTTTATCTTAAACATAAGATCTTTCAAAACAGCGGTATCATCAGAGAACAGCGGTAACATCAATGGATCTAGTAATATTTTTCTCATTTGTGTTTCTCGTATGTCTTTTTCAAAAATACTTTTTATTGTAAATGTCTTTTTCAAAAATACTTTTGAAAAATTGTTAATGTATTATTATTTTAAATGCTTCTTTTAAATAAAGTAAGTTATCTAATAAATTTAATAAAAAACCAAGATAACTTAAAAAAAAAATTCTTGTAAAAGAATGTTATTATTACAATCCATCAAAACAAAGTTTATTAATGGTATTATTCTCTCAATATAAATATATGTATATATTTATATTGAGAAAAATAAATATATACATATTTATTATATGTATATAATTATTTTTCTTCTTACAATTTATTAATAACTACTATAAAGTTCTACTATTCTTCAGTTGTAGAACTACAGATTGTGCTCATTATACCAACTTTCTCTTCAGCAAGATTTTGCAATGGTACTGATAGTATGTAGAAAATCTTGGGTATTTTTTTTTCCTAATTTGAATTGGTCACAATCTCAGAGATAGTAGTTCTTACTGGTTCTAATACTTTAACAAGCAACTTGGAATATGTTTTGGTTGTAAATTTTATTTTTTAACATTTTTATTGTTTTACTTAATAGGACAAAAGCTGTTTAGGTTAAAAAAGATTAAAGGATAAAAGGCTACGTAGTTGGTAAAATTTGTTAAAGGAACCTTTATGAAATTACCAATGCCTGTTGATTAATTATCCTCCTCTAATGAATCTCTTTTCATAAATCTGTTGAAGAGAGGAAATAATAGAAACCATTGCTAACAAGTTCTAAGTTATAAATTAAATCATGTACAAAAATTTAAATTTTAAGCCAAAATATCCCCCATAATTTTTACAATCACTTGTTGTAAAAACCTTCCTATCGTTCTTTGCAATGACATCGCTAATGGTGGACTCTTTTTTCTAACGGATGATAATATCTTTTTTAAAAGAGGAAAAAAGAAAAAAGTAAACATTTATAACTTAAACGAAAAATAAAATTAACTAAAAAAAAAAAAAGAATGAATAAATGTTTTAAAAGAAGAAAAGGAAAAGAAACATTCGAAAGGAAATAAGTAAAAAAGTAATGAAAATAGAAGTTAAAAAAAGCAACAACTAATGAATGAAATAAAAATGAATGGAAAAGAAAGAAAATAATTATTTCTATACATCGAAAAAAGATTGGCAAATCAAGATTTTTTTATTTTTTCATATATTTCTTTAGGTTCATTTCATATATTTTTTAGGATTCTTTATTTACGATTTATTTTTTAGTTTTGCTGTTATGCGGTGTTGTAGTAATGTTTTTTCTTTAGTTTTTAGCCTACTAAGTTTTACTTTATATAAATAATTATATATAATTTTTTATACAGTTATATATTATTTGTTTTTACTTTCATTTAAGCTATTTATTATATATGTTTTATTCTACCATGTAATATTATATATTTTTCTTCTTTATTTGTTGTTGTTTTTATTTTTTATTTTATGTTGATGTTGTTGTTTTTTTATTGTTTTTTTTTGTTGTCAAAAATATTTAACGTAACTTTTTGTTTTGTTCGTAATGTTTGTTGTATCTTTTGTTTTGTTTTGATTTTTTAAGTGTTTTTCTGTTTACATTTTATTTAATTAGTTTCTGTTTACATTTTTATTTATTTATTATTTGTAATATATTTTGGTTATGATATTAAAAGAGTTATGATTAATATATTTACTAAATCATTATAATTTTTTTTAGCAATAGTTGTTTTTACGTCATCGTTAGTCGTTACGTTTTGTCTGTTTATTACTGTTTGTAACTGTAACTTTGTATGTATAAGCGATTGTTGTATAGAAAGTTATACCGATTTATTTAAATTGCTATATTGTTTATATTAATTACTATATTACTAATAATACTATTTTTAAAGTAACATGTTATTATTATTGTTATAATTTATTATTATTTTATTATAAATATTTTTATTATTATTATTACTATAACTGTTTTAATCATTGTTATTAGGTGTTTACTTAATATTAGTAGTTTATATTATTTGTAAGCGACCTTGAAATGTAATACCAAATATTTCAGAAAATATATTGATTCATTGATTCATTGATTCATTATAATACTATTTATAGAAAAAATCTCTGAATAAAAAAAGTCTTTGTGGATTTCTACAGTGATTCATCATTACCACTCTCAATCAACATGTAAACCACCACCAACACGAAACTACAACTGCTGAACATGGTCTAGGCATTTTTGATTATAATGATCTAAAACTGAAATCTCAAGATGATTCAGTAGCAGAATCATCTTGAGAGATTTTGCAATAAAAGTAGCTAATCTGGTCCTTAGTAAACTTTAGGAAATCTTTGGAAAACAAATTGCATAACTCTGGCAACCATTTACACATCGTGCATTTGATTACACCTTGAGTTCAGCATAATGATTGGTTTCTGCATTAGTACAGATCCAATATTGCATTACAAAAATAGTTGCTTCAGTTCAATATCTTCCTTTCCTTGATAGATTCACCTTTCTAGTCTTAACTTTGCTAGGCGACTGCTTAATAAGAGACAACACCATTGAACAATACAAAATAAATAACAAGTTTGTCATCATTGTTTTCAAAGTTGAGCAAAATAATCATCTATTTACACATCTAAAAAACTTGAAAATGAGGTGGTCAATTTCTGCGTTGAAAGAGAAAATCTTGTGAGTCAGTAACCTAAAGCAGCTGTGGTGCAGTAGTTAAAGTTCTGGCTCAGAACCAAGAGGTTCGTGGTTTGACTTCAGCTCTATAAGCAACTTTGTTAAAGAAGGAGGCGTGAACTTCCTGGTTGAATGCTTCTCTGTGGTGCTCTGTGGTATTTTTGCAATAAGTTTAAAAAAAATAGGTATTTTTGAAGTACCTAAAAAACTAATTTAAAAAAAATAGTACACCTTGCCACTCATCTATACAGCTTGCCCCTCTCATTTATACAGCCAGTATGTTAAATATATTCAATAATAAGTTAACGAACTACATGCTTTAAATGTTACAGCAGATTGTTGGTTAAATTACCAATTCAGCACAAAGGGGCCTGTTATGTTTTTCGTAAACAGAAAATAAAAAAATTTCCATGCTAGTTTTAACAATTATGTATGTATTCTGTATATTTTTTTAATTTAAATAATTAAGTTCAAAATATTTGCTGCTTTAAAAAGCTTAGAAAAATTTGTTTTAATTGTATAAAAATATTTTGTCATTAAGGTTTACAATACTTATCACAGTTTTTTTTACATAAAATTTATTTTTTAGGTGGGCATATGGCGTTGTTTTATTTGAAATCGTCACGCTAGGTGAGTATTATAATTTTATACATTTTTATGCATAATATAATGGTTTTAATGTTCTGTCTATTTCTGATTTTTTTTATTATTATTATTATTATTATTACTATTGTTATTATTGTTATTATTATTATTATTATTATTATTATTATTATTATTATTATTATTATTATTATTATTATTATTATGTCCATTATAGGAGGGACACCTTATCCAAGTATAAGTAACCGTGAACTTCTCACTCTTTTGAAATCTGGTTACAGAATGAGTCGACCAGAAAATTGTTCTGAACCGATGTAACGTCTTTAAATTTTTTTACAATTTTGAATTTGTCTGTCTTTGAATTCTGTTTAAACTGTCTTTGAATTCTTAATTTCTTTATAAAAAATTTCAAATCAGGTACGATATCATGTTGCAATGTTGGAATGAAGATCCATTACAGAGACCTACTTTTACAGATTTACGTGAGCGTTTCGATAAAATTATGTCTCAGGGAGACAGTTATTTTAACTTTGATATTGACGATAAAAATGTTTACTATAAAGCTGCATCGTTTAACAGTCTTCCTGCTGAATCAAATGATGGTGAACTTGAAGAAAATATCTTCCAAAAACCTTTGAACATAAAATCAATTGGAGAAGTTGAAAAAATTAACGATGAACCTATTTCTTTATTAAACGAAAGATACACAAATCAGTTGAACGTAAAATCAACTGAAGAAGTTGAAAAAATTGATGATGAACCTAATTCTTTATTAAACAAAAGATACACAATATCAAGAGAATTATGCAATTAATTTTGGTTAACCATTTGTATAATAATTCTTTATACAATATATATGTGTATAATATATCTCAGTTAAATATAACATCTGTTGCTATACCTCTAACATAAATAATTGCATCTGTTACCAACTCATCAGTATTACTAAATTTTGCTGTAAAGAACCAATTAAACCACCTGAATGTTTATAAAAAAAATAGCTGATAGTTAATAAAGTTGAAGTTTTTGAATTCTTTGATAATTTTATTCATTTATAACTAACAAGTTGTTGCACTCATCAAATTACTTTAAATCTCGTAAAATCCAGGTACTAGGTAAGATAAATGATTTTAAATCTCTGCGTTTATCATAGGCAAAAACAAATAATCATCGAACAATAGTTTTGATTTCCGTTTAAAAAGGCTTTTAAAAGTTTTTAAAAGAAATATAAATAAAATCATAAATGGTTATGACAAACTATTGCTCGTTTATGATGAGTTACTTCCTATGAGAATTTTTCCTACGTTGGTATTTTTTAATTTTTGGCTCCAAATCAATGCATCCTAGGCTTTGTTGCTATTTTTATATTGTTTAAATGCGTGAAAAATACTTTAATGAGCTGTTAATGTTGTTAATACTTAAATTTTATTTTTTAGAGATTTTTTTTCAAAAAATCAATAAACAAAATTATTAAACAAATGATTGTAGCTTATGAGCACAATTTGCGGTTAACTTAGTATTCAGTTTACGATAACGTTTTGCAAATATCCTGTAAATAGAAAATATCTAAAAACTTTTATTTATTACGAATTTTAAACGTGTTAAATGTGTCTTGTATTTACAGTGTAATAATGACACCCAAACTTCTTTTATAGTTGCATTTTTTTTTCAGCGTTTGTTAGTGTTCTTGAAAAGAAGGCCACGGGTCTGCCTAGTTGTAGTAATGTTACTCCCAGTGCTGTGTCAGAAGCCTCTGTTTCAATAGTTCAAAAGTGGGACTTTGAAGTAGGGTAAGGCCAGACAAGCTTCCGTAAGTTTAATTTTGAGCTTTTTAATTGCTACATTGGCTTGTGGATTCAGGCCTCTTGTTAGAAAACTGTCTCTTGCTTAAGTAAGTGGTAAAAGGAACTAATTTTTCATTCTGTGTTATCGGGGAGCAAATCTATCATTCGGCTTAGTTATTTTAAGGTTTTTGGGTCTGGACTATTCAAAAGAACTTTATATCTTTTTGGATCGGGTTTCAAGGTTCCGTTTTCAATTATATGGTCTAAGAATTTAGTATTAGTTTTTTTTAAATTAGCTTTTTTTTTTTATTTCTACATTGACAATTTTATTTGCGTGTAGGAAGTAGTTAAGATTTTTATCATGCTCTTGGGCATCTTGATTAGTTTCAACTATCTAGCGGCCATGGCGCTAGACCTGTTTATTTTCAACTATCTAGCGGCCGTGGCGCAGTGGTTAGAACGTTTGCTTTATAAACAGGAGATCCAGGTTCGAAACGAGCCTTAGGCATAATTTTGCGTCACAGTAAGGAAGGAAGCGTGAGCTTCCTGGTTAAATACACTTCCGCATGCTCGGTGACAAGACGTTAGGTCTTCCTGGGGTACTAAATAACAATTAAAAAAAAAAAACTATCAACTCCAGGTATTATGAGTAAGTTGTATATTTCAAGTTAAGATGTCCATTTCTGATAATTACCGGTTCTACCAAATTGTCTACTACATGGGATTGCACGTTCGTTTTTTGCAAGCTAATAACAATGAGCCATAAAAAGATTCCTTTAACTTTTCATAAAATAATCATCCGAATTTTAATATAAATTTTAGTATATTAATTATTATATATATATATATATATATATATATATATATATATATATATATATATATATATATATATATATATATATATATATATATATATATATATATATATATATATATATTATATTTATATATATATATATATATATATATATATATATATATATATATATATATATATATATATATATATATATATATATGTATTTGTATAGATTTCGATATATAGAATATATTCGAAGTTGAATATTTTGATGTAATCATACGAAGTCTCTTGTACGTGTTACAGTGCTCAATATTACTGAATAATAGAGCTATATAAAATTATATTTAGATGAATAAAAACAACTGATTAGCGGGACTTAAAGTTTCATGCCCGAAGGCAATCATCCGCCGTTAATTGGCGGTGCTCTGTGGCTCATTGGTGCTCATTGGCGGTGCTCTGTGGCTCATTTGTGCTCATGTGTGCTCATTGGCGGTGCTCTGTGATAAGACCGTAAGGACTTCTTTGGGCACCTAAATTAAATTAAAAAAAAAAAAAAAAAATACCTATTAACGGCTATTAACGGGTATCAACGGCTGATGATTGCCTTCGGGCATGATACTTTAAGTCCCGCTAATCAGTTGTTTTTATTCATCTAAATATAATTATATATATATATATATATATATATATATATATATATATATATATATATATATATATATATATATATATATATATATATATATATATATATATATATATATAATATATATGTGAAAAACTATATATATATATATGTATATATATATATATATATATATATATATATATATATATATATATATATATATATATATATATATATATATATATATATATATATATATATATATATATATATATATATAGTTTTTCACCCAAAAATGTTTTATAAAATAAAACATTTTTGGGTGAAAAACTATAATTTTTTATAAAATTATAAGTATTTTTGAAATTTTTATAGTTTCACGTAATTAGAAGCCCATCAAGAAATACTTTTGAAAACATTTTTAGAAAAAAAAATTTATTCAATAATAAATACTTATATTAAAAATGATATCTCGGAAAGGACAAACAAATTGTTTAGCCAAAATGCTTTTTATCAAATGTAGTTTTATAGAGTGCAATTTTTCAGATGTTGTTTAAAAATGTTCTTCAATTTTGACCACGAAGTAAATAGGTTGTATAAAATAGATTTGTATCAAACTGGTAAACTGTATTAAACAAATCATCTGATTTAATGATTTCTTGTTAAAATCGAAAAACATTTTAAATAACATCTGAAAATTATTTGTTTGTATTTATTAATTAGATAGAAAATTTTTTTAAAGTTTTTTATGTTGGGTCTCAAATAAAGCAAATCTATATGAAAGTTTATAATTTTCAATAATTGAACAATAAAATCAAAAATTATAACTTTATAAAATGTTATAATTTTCGATTTTATTGCATAGAAAATGACATTTTTTAACCAAAAAAAATTTTTTTTTTTTTAAATTTACAATATTTCTTGACTTTTTTTTCCCCTGATGTTTTTATAAAGTTATTTTTGTTCCTGAGCATTTATCATCTTGATATCAAATATGCATTCCATTTTTTACCATCATGTCAAGTTGTTAAGATATTTGGATTTAAATCCTTATCGTTTAAAAAACTATTCAAAAGTATATCAACCAATATCTCAAAAAAAGACCCAGGGTCCTACACAATTTATGGCTAAATCTCCATCCGGATGGGTGGAGATGTTGCGTAGCCATAAATTGTACAGTCGTGGTATAGTAAATTTCTGACTATAGAACTGGAAGTCCGTAGTTTGAAGCCGGATCTGGCCATAAATGCATTATTAGAAGGAAAGTTGGCGTGAACTTCTTGGTTAAATGATATTTCGTAGGACTCTGTAATAAGACCGTTAGGACTTCTTGGAGCAACTTTAGTTATAACTGCAAACAAAAAAAAAAAGCAAAAAAAAAAAAAATAATAACTAAAACGTTGAATAAAGGGGTTGAATGTAATTTGCCAATTATTAACTAGGTAAATATAATATTAAACTTATAAATTTCGTGTATATTTATATATATATATATATATATATATATATATATATATATATATATATATATATATATATATATATATATATATATATATATATATATATAGTGTACATTTGTTTTACACGTACACATTGACATATACGTATATTTATTCTTATATGTACGTAAATGTCAATGTGTTCGTTTATATGTATGTATATATATTTTTGTGTACGTCTACATAAAAGTGTAGGGGAGACTGGGGTTAGTTGGGAAACAGGGTAAGTTGGGACACGGGGTAAGTTGGGACACGGGGTTAGTTGAAACTTTAAACTTTTTCGCCGACTAACAAGCAGTTTCTTATTACAAACAAGAAACAAATGTTTCAAGAACTAAAATACATACTATTTTGTTGTTGGTTAAAATAAATTTGTTGGTTAAAATAAATTTGTTGGTTAAAATAAATTTGTTGGTTAAAATAAATTTGTTGGTTAAAATAAATTTGTTGGTTAAAATAAATTTGTTGGTTAAAATAAATTTGTTGGTTAAAATAAATTTGTTGGTTAAAATAAATTAAGTTGTTGCTCAAGATTTTAGAGAATTGTACACATAAAAGTAAATTTTTGTGATTTTTGTATTATTAATTGTTATCTTGTATTATAAAAAATAATAAAATTTTTTGAAAGCGTCTAAGTATATACTAAATTAGAGTTTAAATACATACTAAATTATTATGCATGTGTTTTCATTTATTTAAATCTTGCTACCGCTTGTTGTTGACAGCAGTATGTTCTTTATGGCGGGGTTTGTTGGAACATTTTTTTTTACAGCTCTCTAATCAAAGATATATTAAAAACTACATAACTAAATTTAATCATTAATAGTGAATATTGTGTGCTTTAGTAGGAAGTATTAAGACAATAAATAAAATTCAAAAAATTTTTGTATTTTGGCCACAAGTTAACAATTAAAAAAAAACGTTCCAACTAACCCCGGTCTCCTCTATTTATTTCTTTGTATTTATGTATATGCAGATATCTCTATGTATGTATGTATGAAAACTTATTTTTACTAATTTACTTTCTTGTAAAATCATTTTCTATAATAGAAGTTATTTAAAACTTGAACAAAATGTAAATTATCATAATTTTCAATGAGTGGTCACTTCAATTTTGTTCCTCCAGAAAAAACTATTCACTTAGAAATAAT